TTGGACAAATTCCGATTCAAAAGTTTCAAAACAAACAATTCACTTTTCACACCCTCTCTATCCTGTACACATCTTGCTTATTAAAAGACTACAAATATTTTACTGCAGTATCATCTTTTGTTAAATAATCCGGTTATAAAGGTTAGCTTGTTTGCACAGGTTTATTTTCAACCTTTTTATACAGACTATTTACTTCATTCATCTCCATGAACGATTTAAATGATATATTTTAGTGTATATTTTAGTGAATAACCTAAATATGAACTCAAATAGGTCTTACAGACTTGAAATAAAACAATCATCATCATTGATCCTGCCACCCTAAAGCTCTCTTAACAAATTAAGCTAAATTACTTTTTTATTAAATAATTATAAAATGGTTTTATTATTATAATATAAATATATATTTTATTTCCTGTCTAGCAGTTTAAAGGCGACCTGCTCTTTCTGGGAAACTTCTACATAGCTCACTTATTTTACCTTTTGTTCTTTTCAACACAATCTTTTTGGATTAAAATGCTTTTTTGAAAATTCATTCATTATCCAAAATAATCTAATTTATTAAGACCTAATCAAAGCACCTTGTTTTGCTTTTTACATTGGAAATGTTTATATCTATAAATGTACATATATGTAAACCTTTTTTTTTAGCATATTCAAACAAAAAGTATTAGCCTAAAGATTGATGTTTAACTCCGAGAATTTATGCTTATTGCTTTGTATTTAATAGACCTGTTCGTTATGTTTATATTAACCTCTTATTTCCTCTTATTTCTCTCTTGCATTTGTAATATTTTATTCGTAATTCTCCCTTATTGTTTAAAAAGGAACTACAGTTTGTAGAGACTGTATTCTGTTTTATTTGTAAATGTTTTGTTGTTATAAATAAAAATAACAAAAAAAAAAAAATATATATATATATATATATATATATATATATATATATATATATATATATATATATATATATATATATATATATATATATATATATATATATATATATGATGACCCCATGTGATCGGTCATCATGACTGCAGCAACTTTGAGTCCCGAAGTGTCCAGCTGTCCGTCTTGACGGCTCCGTTATCAACTCCGCCCCCACCTGCGCTCGGCTAATCTCGTTGATCACCGGCTGCAGCTGAGCTTCATGTCGAACGCACCTGCAGTCTTTTGAGAGCAACTGCGGCCGACTGCTCTATCCGAGGTACCCGCCTCGCGATCGCGAGAGTTTTTTGGCGCACGTCAGCGTGACATCAGAGCGAGGCGAAGGCAAGGCGGACACATTTCTAACCGGCATGCATCTTGCGGTGATCACCGGTGATCGATTCTGCGCAGATTATGGCCAAGTCGAACGAGCCTAACGTCTGGATGAACTGATCTGAGATCGCTGCGTGTGTTGTGAAGGACAGATCTATCGATCCTCGAAATCATGATCAGCAATGCAACGATTGGCTGACGGCACAGCAGCGTAATGACATCATCTGATTAATATTCAATTATCCATGTGAGCAAAATTACATAAAATTAGCAGAAACGGCTTGTTAAATATGACACGCAAGAACTTTCCACATTTGTTGTGAGCTGCAGGCTTTACACTTTCATTTGTCAAGACAAGAGTATTCATCATGCATTTCAATGCAAATAAATGTATTTAGGTCTACATTTAGAAAATATTTTCTTTATAATAGTATCCGTTTTTTAATCGGTGTAAAGAATAACTGGTTGTTTACAAAAGCAAGGTGTCTGCAACTAGTGAAGCATCAAATCACTGGCATATAAACTATCAAAACATGTTTATGACTGCATAAATGTATTATTGCTTTAAAAAAGTCACATA